CGCAGGAGGAGCTGCCGTCCGCCTACGATTTCCACAGACCACAAGTCAACCAGCCCGAAAGGGAACAGCTGCTCTTGGCCCGGGATCCGGCTTTGTCTCCGGTTTCAGCGCCAGTTCCGGCCTCTCCACTGCTGCCCCTGCCCATGCCGCCCATGCCCATCAAGCAGGTGCCATCGCACCATCAGTCGCACCACCAACAGCCGCACTACCATCTTCAGCAGTCAACCGGCAAGGTGGCAGCAAGTCGCGACCCCGCTTCTATGCACCACCAGCCACCACGACGACCAACACAGCAGTGGTTACCGGGTCACCGCCGTCCCTTTCGACCGAGCGCACCACTCAGTGGGAGCGGGATCAGTCGACGGCACTACCACAACCGTCGGCAGTCTATCCAGTGAGCTCGATCTTCCCCAGCGGTGGTGGCAGCGAGATGTCGGGCAAGAGGATCAACTACAACTACCATCCCATTATCGATTTCTTCGAGAAGAATCGCAAGGCGGAGGCGGTTACAGTCAGTTCCATGGCAGAAGAATCCCGCATAGTGGAGCAGCGCATATTCCCGCAGAATTCCCCCACATCTCAACAGAATGGCATGGGCTTGGGTATGGAGAGCATCACTGGAGTGTACCAACATCCGATTCCGGTGCCCAAAACGCACGAGCGGCGTATGGGTTACCGTCCACATAGCGGTGGCGTGGGTGGTGCAGGTGCTGTGGGTGGTGGTGCTGGTTTCGCCAGCGATAACGCCTGGCTGCCCATGGTTGTGGAGTAGCTTAAGTCGCATGAGTCCATCAAAATCGAAGTCCTCAAATCCCCGAAATCTAACGTATTAACGCCGATGCCTTAGCTCGTAGTCTCTGCCGTTCTCGCCAGGAGCCTAATCTTGTAGCTTGCCTACCTGGCTCCTAATCTCAACCCCATTTACCCCAAACCCACTCTAATGTTTAACCAACTATGTTTATTTATTTATTTATTTCGTAGTGTGTAGTGCAAAGTTTAGGATGTGACCTCGTTTTTGGGGGAGGTTCAATTGGTCAAAAGCTTGGTTGACTTGTCGCAAGAGTTCTAGCAATAAATATAATTTATTGAAATCTGAACATGTGTTTGAAGTTGGGCTATAAAGGTTATACAATTTTTTGCGTTTGGGAAATGTGTGGAATTTCATAATACGCCCACTGTACTTCTGTTAACTCTGAATTGGCTAACAGAAAAACTATTAAAGCATCTTTTAGGCGCACTTTAAAATGCTGACTTATGTTAACAAATACAGGTATGCGCAACTGCATTGCCATTAAAAGAGCTGTTTCATTTTATTGGTAATATAATCCTGCAATAAATTCAAGTACACAGCTATTATAAACCGCTTAAAATTCAATGAAAAGTATGGCGCTATTCAATTTTAAACGAGACTAATATATACATTTTGATTAATAGTAAATAGTTTGTAGCTTAAGCCTTTTAAAACAATTGTTCAAACTTGTATTTTTTATTTGCAATGAATATTTAATTTAAAACTTAATTATAACAACGCCTAAGAGAGTCGACGAATTTATAAAAATGACAACCAAAAACAAAAATATTATATTTTACACGCACAAAAAATCTCTTGAATATATTTGTTATTCCGATTGGATATTCCCATAGAATACTAAATTCTGCATAAATCATTCCGATCTGAAGACCGCATTATTCCCCATATCTTTGAAACACCCAAATTAAATGGCCAGTGCATAAATTAATTCTCCGCGGAATTACAATATTATTGTAATTTGCCTTTCGCCCAAATGACACAAATACCATATCAGTGGCTTTCGGCGAAGTTCAAGTTGAGGGTCAAGTGGCGGGCACTAATGAGATTCGAGACTGCGAAAATAAAAACACTTACCCACACGATCGAAAACTGATTTAACGACAGAAACTTGTTTCTGCACAGCAACCAGAAAGTAGTAATGTGCCCAACCACCGTTGTGGCGTATGCAAAGTGGGTTTCTAAAGCGAAACAAGGCTTGCGCTCCGACTTTGACCAGTTATAACATTGGACGTTGAACGTTGCAACTTGCATCTGGCAACTGGCAACTGGCAACTACTTGCAACGTCACTTCGGCTGGCCAGATTCGCTTTCATTTGCGGCCGAAGCTAACAAACGGCCGATGACGACGACGATGACGACTTCAAAGACATCTATCTCGTCATGAAAGAAAGAAAGAAAGGCTCGTGGCGCGGAGATCAAACTGGAAAATTGGAAAAACGGCGAGAAAATTTTATAAAGGCACAATGATAGCACACTTACTGCACAGTTGTCGGTTGGCCGTCGAACGCGAAAGTGAAAAGTTGCATTTCCCCCGACCTTGGGATAGTGAGAGTAAAAGTGCAATGGCTGTGCTAAGGATATACTTTTTGCTCCTCTTCTGTTTACACCTAAGTCAGTCGATAAAAGTGGATAGTGGGAGCAAGGAAGGAGTTTCCAGTAGCACTCAAAGTCCTCCTGTTTATAGAGTATCGAAGCCCGAGCCCAAGAAACCGGAAAACAGGGTTCCACCGCATTTGCAGGACATACGTCCTGGTTACGTCGATGATGATGCAGGGGATGTGATCAGGATTATTGAGCCTCCTCAGCACTTTCAGCAGCTGAAGCGTCTGCGTCTACGGCAACCTCACAATCCACCTGTTGTTTGGGAGCAACCGCGGAAATTGGCCACCAATAGGGTGAAAATCATGCCCCAAGGAGACCTCCTCACTCAGGAAACCCAGATTCAAAATGGTCCTAATCAGCTACAAATACCCATGGAAATCCTGGCTTCTGTGCGGAAAACAGAGCGTCTATTGCAGCGGCAAAGACAAAAGGCAAAGTTTCCCCTGGTTAGACAACGATACATACAGCGACAAAGTCACACGTTAATAGCCCAAAAGGCCCTGGAACAGCAGCTCTACCAACGTGGCCAGCAGCAAAGGCTAAAAGCAGTGTTCAGTCGCAATCAGGAGCTGAAGCGAAGTAAAAGAAACAAAAGGGATGTGGCTGCAAAACCGAAGGAGCCCTATGATGTACAAAAAGGCCTGAAGTTAGTGGCCCACATTGGGGATCTACTCAAAAATGCCACACAATTTCTACCCGACGAAGGGGTCACCAATGAGGTGAAGAGGTCACCAATTTGCAGCAATGCAGCCACTTGCGACAATCGGCGACGTCGCGAAAGACTATTCAAACAGCAAGCCAAGTCAGCAGAGCGGGAAAAATTAAAGGAGAGGCGTCGCAACTTCCGGAATAAAGAGGCAACAACCATAACAGCACCAACAACCAAGGCGACAACGGCAACAACAACCACTGGCAAATCGGTGTTTTCAAGTGCCAATTCACTTGCGGAAGCTTCCGCTACTCCGCTGGCCAGTCGCCTGGTGAATTCACGCAAATCCAAATCCCAATCACCAAATAACAACCGCAACAGCCACTGGGGCCGCAGCGATGACTCCATACTCTACGCGGATGTAATGACAAATATACGCAACTTGTGGCAGGAGCACGATCAGTTGGCGGCACCAAAGTTTATTGCACCTGGCGAGGTGGCCAACAACACGGACTATCGCGCCTTGGACGTTTATCTCAAGCAGCTGGATGATTTGGCCAAAAAGCTGCCCACTGTCGCTCCCATTAGTGGCTTAAATAAGGAGGAACTGCAGCGAGCCACGCCCACGCCCAGTTGGTACTTGATAAACTCAGAGGGAGGCATCTTTGAGACCCGGCTGGATAGTCAAACCAAACCCTCGTCGTCCCTCTTTCATCGTTTCCCCGACATGCCCAGTCAAAATCAGAGTGTATCTACATTGGACTTGGAGTAGTTCCTGCTCCTGGAGTTTTAAGCTAGTTGTTACCTATTTATTTACAAAGAATAAAGTATTATTACTGCAACGGAGATAGACATGGGCATTTACTTTTCAAATTATTATGTTCTTAACAAATAATTACCTTATTAGCCCTGCAACTCTTCACCTTAACTCCTTCAATGCTACATCTCTGGCGGATTCTTGGTGGCCAACCAAGCATTTAGCTCGGCTAATTACAACAACTCCCAACCCTCAAGTCACAAGTTCTTGGCTAATGCGGCAATTTAGATAAGCCCAAACTGGCAATTAGCCCCGAGCTTGAATCCAAGCTGCCAAACGTGCGAAACGCATTGTCCCAAGCCCTGACCCCGCCAGACATGCAAAGTTGTGAGAAGATTTTCGGCAATTAACTGGTACATGGAAATTGAGTGGCTCAGATGAAGCGGAAGAAAATCAACCTGACCTCTCTTACACGGGAAATATGTAGATCTGTCGGATCTCTCACTCAGATAATACACGTTTTGGGTTCTGATCTACGCAGTTTTATGGGGATCCCATCTCTATTCTTGGAACATTTTCAATTCCACAATAGTTCTTTTTGGCTACCAAACCTAGTATGACGTTTTTGGGCGTCGTATTTTTTTTTATGGGATTAGAATGTTGTCAGGCCACTTTGACTAAGAATTATTTAATTTATAGAGCGTGTGTTGAGTTTTTATGGTTATTATGTGGTGTGTTGGCGGGAAGAGAGATAAATTAGAGTGGATCGATAGCGAAGAGTAGAGAAATCGGTATACATTATGTAAGCAAATGAATTCCTGGCCTTTAAAGAAAAGAAGCGGGGCACTGCCCATTGCGACATTGACCCCACTGATCGCAGCCAGTCGGCTGAGTGGCTGGTGGAGTGGGCGGTGGGTGGCAAGAGAAAAACAGGCAAACAAACATTGGTTGCCCCAAAGCATTGTAATTAGTAGTCGGTCATGCAAGAAATAGAAGCCTCCCACCAACCCCTCTCTTGGCGAATTCATTGATGTTTTGGAGGGGTTTTCTTTGAATTGTTAGAAGCACACGCAGCTGGAGTCGCTCAAATTGAAGGGGGAACCGTTTTTCGCTTAGACAATTGTTTTGTCGCTGCGCATTGATGGCAATGCGGCGTTGCAAGAATCGCTATTTGGCCATTATAAAAGCCCACTGCACGTTTTCAGCGTCAGTCAGTCAGTTTTTGTAAGCCTCGAGTGGCATTTCCATTTCCATTCCCAATCCGTCGTTGTAAGCCCAAAGGAAATCCGCCGAAATACTCACCAAGATGTTCCAAGCCAGAATCGTTTGCCTGCTGCTCGCCTTCTTCCTGTTGGCCACGTTCTTTACCGGATCTGAGGCCCTGCCACGCCCACAGGAGGGTCGGGAGGAGGGCGGCGATCAGGAGGCGAATGTAGAGGCTGAGGAGAAGGATCTGGAGGGGGCTGCATCCTTTGGATACGGATACTACTCATCGCCCTACTTGGGTGGCTACTACGGCGGATATTGGCCACATTACAGCGGCAGTTACTACGGCATTGGTAAGAATAGAAGACGAAAAGACGAAACTACTTTCTTTAAAGAGACACTAAAGAAAAAAGTAATCGGAAAATGAGTGATATGGCTTAAAATAATTGCTTTAAACTTCGTATCTTAAATTGTTGATGAAGACCAGCTGTGTATGATGTGTGAACTTACTTACTCGCAGGTTATCCCTACTATGGAGGTTACTATGGACTGCATCATCACCATGGACACTATGGACACTACTTCTAGGAAGGATTCTTAATCCGTCCAGATATACTTTAACAGCCTCAGTAGAATTCAATCAGCACCAGACATCTACCAGCACTAGAACAAATAGTATACTTAGTAATACTTGTAGAGTCCAACAAAGATAGCGTCAATAGCCAGCACTAGCCTCAATAGCCAGACGATGCGTTCTTGACCGGACAGCGAACAGATTAACTGCACTGCCCCTTGTGCAAGGATAATTGCTTCAATAAAGCAGAAAATCACAAAAAAGAGTACAACCAACTAAATATTATATAAATAAATGTTATACTTTGTATAAATTAATGCCTGCGTGCTTGATGGCTACTGTTGATTGTCTTAATTTTACTTTTAGCTCGTTATTTTATTCCATCGTAAAAAACTCATGAAGCACCCAGCTAATTTGAAATTCAAATGAAGCCAAACAAACATTGACTCCATATCGCTGGCCTAATCTAATTAATAGGGGTTTTATTTCAGAAGCAAATTAATTGTACAAATTGGCAAGAACTTAAGCGGACGTTGGCCGTAAATGTTTGGCAATAAACGGCAGAAAAGTACAACTCTGCTTCGGTTATTTGACTCCTGTTGTGCCACTCGGCGTATGCGTAATTTATGATTGAAATCGTGGAATCGCTTAAGACGAGCGAGCATTGTGTACGCCAAGTGTCTCAGATTCTCAACACAACCGCACTGAGCGGTGCTGCCCAAGACTATTTGTCTTGATCGGATTTTGACAGGCAACAATCGGATATTGGAAGTCAGACATCAAGTCCGAAAGGTCACGGAAGTGACGGACAATGGACATCTGAGATTAACGGCCGGCAGACGGCGGCGATGGTGCGACAATAACCGTTTGATTTCACAGAGGAACTTTAGCATAAATTTTGGTCACTTAATCTAAGGTCAATGGGTAACCGAGAAAAGAAACTTTAATTGACCACTGCATTGACACTTTTCCTCGTGGCTTACAAACGTCAAAATCAAGAACGTTTCATCGATTTTCTTTGATTTATATCACGTTCCGATGGCCAGATATATCTGTAGACAATAAAAGCGTTAAATTGGATATTAAATGATCGTTTAGCATTTCATTGTTGATCTGAAGCGTGACTTAGCTCAAAATATCGCTTAGATATGATTATTATTTATTCATCATCTTGGAATGACTCACTTAAAAAAATTTGCCAAAATGAATACAAGAAAACTCGTTTTAATTAGAGCGAGGAAGACTTTTGTCTGTTTAGCTTCTGCTCTTTGTGGCTCAATAAATTCAGTCAGCTGACTGTAGCACCGACATTCATTGCACTTTCTCACAGTTACCGGATTTCGCCAATGGGTATCCCTAGATCATTTCGAAAGATCAGACTGATGATGTGGCTAATTGTTTGTTTGTTTTAGTTAATTTTACCCAAAGCTGTTTGCGTTTCGTTGACGTTTTTCTTCTATTTATTACTTTCATTAATTGAAAAGTATATATTCAAAATCATTGAAAAATGTTCACCCATTGTTATAGGAAAAAACCACTGGAATTATATAAACGAACTTCTTTGTGGTTTTTTATGCTGAGTTATTGTATCTTGCGTGGTATTTAATTTGGGCATCGCACACTCGAGTTCAAGTGCAGGAATTGAGAGAAGTAGAGCATATTGGTTTGAAATAAAAATAACTTAAACTAAAGAAATTTGTAATATGATAAAAACAATAATAAAACTTTTAGGTATTTTAATAAATTATTTTCGAGCTGATTAAAAAAAAACTAAAAAAATTATGAAAATTACATTTTGCAATTACTTTTGAGCCACTGTATATTGTCCGTATTTTTTGATTACAAAAAAAACCAACTAATAATTTGATTTGTATCCGAGTACCTGCTTGTTTATTCATGCGTGGGTCGCTTTATATCTCAATTAGATGCTAAGGCGATCATCATTAGCGGAATGGTGGCGACTGCATTCAAAGCGCAGTCCGCACTTGATGCGATAATAATTTCAGTACAGTAAATTATCAATCTATATGCCGATGGCATTAATTCCTCGTACCCGTCAGCAAGTCGGCTTAGAGGTGTCGCAATCTGGATTCAGAGGCAGCAGCAGCAGCAGTCATTTTGAGAAGTTCCTGCTGCGACAGGTTCGTGTCTTAAGTCTTTCGTCTTTCGTGGAATTAACATATCAAGCACGTATTATTTCAGGTCGAACAACAATCCCCATCCGCAATGTTGTGGCAGTCCCGGGCCAGTACTCGATTCTTCCTTGCCACCAAGGACGCTGCGGCTTAAACGCACTTGAACCGCTTTAAAATTATACACTGGAAAATGTTATTTGTATTTAAGAAAATGTTAAGAGTTAAATATTAATTTTATTTGAGTAAATTCTTGCATTCCACATCTGTTTAAAAGTAAAATTAAACAGCTCTTTCCTTAATATCAGGCTTGGAATTTTTCCTGCACTGGCATCCTGGATTTGGCCCTCAAAATTGGCCATTGAACTTGCTGCAAAACTTGTTTTTCCCCTCGCTTTCTTATGGTTTCTGCCGCAGTTGCTGGCGTGGCTTTTGTGGTTAAGAGTCGAGGCGAGTTGGTCGGATTGTAATGCTAAGCATTTTGCATACCAAAGGTATTAAAGTCTTTCGACTTTGACCTTGCCCAATCTGATCTCGCGTAGGTGAATAGAGCACAGCAGGGTTTACCTTAATGTGTGTGGCATGCTCGACTTGGCAAGAGGCAAGGGCGATCAGTTGTGGCAAAGCGACCCACCGACAAGTCCGCTCCAAATGCAACAGACCAGAAACCAGACCGAATAAACAGAACTTCTAGGCTTTGGAGACTGCTCGTTATTTTATTTCAAGTCAAGCTCTTTAATTAGCTGTTAACTTCCGCAACATTTGCGCCAAAGAACGCTTGTCTTGTCTTACCAAAAAAATAAAACACAAAATTCCGAGATACAAGCAACTCCCAACCAAGTATTTATTCGTTGTGGGTGCGTTCAATGGCTGAAAGTGATTTATGAACGCCTGCTGAGCCATAAATATGTATGGCAATTGTTTCGCTTCGATTTGCTAAGCCATTTTAGGCTTTAATCAAAGTGCTTAGTACTGGGAACTAGTCTACTAGTCTCCGCGACGGAAACGACGCTCTGCCCAAAAACTAAATCAAAAGCTTCCATTAGCCAAGTTAGCACACAAGTGCTGACAGGAAGTTCTCATCTCTCGGTTCTAGCCATGAATTATGACCAAGTTTGTCCAAGAAGCGACGAAGCGTTTTAGAAAGGCGAAATCCTGTGCCACTAAGGTCACATTCTGGTTCGATCAAATACACCAGAACCCGTTCTCCAGTCACTTCCTCTTTTGTAACAGGATCAGCTTGGGATTCCGCTTCATGTGCTGGCCATTAAGCGGGTATTCTGGTTCTCAGCCGTCGGATGCCGCGGCGACCTTGAGACGAGAGTGCAAAAAATCTGTTCAGATGTTCGCTGCTGCCCCGATCTCTCGGTGTGTAGGTTGCAATTAAGCTGAACTTGTTATGGTCGCCGGTTTCACTTCGGTTGCTCACCGACGTTGGCTTTATGACCGAAAAAAATGTGCTTAATGAAAACGAACCGACGCCCCATCCATCTCACAGTGCCTGCGCCTCTCCACCTGCCCCCCACTTTTAGCTAATCGCTCCGAAAGTTGTTATAAATTTGTCACTTAAATTCATTACATCGATTGGCTCCATTGTCACTCGCGTAATTAGATATTGATGAATGGTCCTTTGTGGGTGGTTAACTCAACGGGTGGGGTATGTAAGCTGTTACAAGGATTTTGTGCTCAAACTTTAAATTCTTCTAAACAATTTCTTAAAAATTGCGATGGAATCTAATTTTGTATTTAATGTCTTAAAGTAAAACTGGTGAATATTCAAAGGACACTAAATAGCTAACCTCAACGCTTTTTTGCATTTTTAAATTATAAAATTTTTCAAATACATTTTAAAGGGTATTGGAAGCAGTGTCTGTTGAAGCTTAGCTTGAATTAGTCACTGATTATTGCAAATTTATTTGCAAAACATTTGTAGCAGTTCGATTTATACAAGTACTAAACGTCATGTACTTTATAACACACATTTTCTGAACATTTAAATAAATCTAGCTTAAATTTAATTAGCTCGTGTTTGAGTCATTTACCTTCTGGTGTTTATTAATAGCCAACCCCATCATCTAAATTAAAAGGGTATGACAGACTGCGCCTTCTCGAGTTTTACTTTCATTTGTCATATTTGATTATTTATTTGTGAATATTTCGTATCAGTTCGATTTGAACATGAGGTAAAGGGCCCCGAGGTTTAATGAACTGTTGGCGGATTTGTTTTTGGTGAAAACCATTGGTGCTGAATCACCTGCTGATTATTATTGTTGGTTGTTGGTTTTATGAGCGTTTACCTTGCGGTTGACGCTGCTGGCGAATCATTTGTATGCCACGGGCGAAATTGTCCCAGCGAAATGCATAAAAACTTCAGGTGGCTTATATTATTTATAGACTGGATACACTGAATTTTAATCAGGTTCTAGCCACATCTTAGTTGCAGTGTTAATCCCAGTTAATTTTAATTCATTATTTTACTTCCAAATTGTAGAGAATCAGAATGCTTGCTTATAGCTTAAAATTCCTGAGTGATTTGCTTCGCATTTGCGGGGATGCTAAGTAGTTGTTAAAAGCTTTTAGTTTTAGTGCTAAGCCGCTTAGGCGAATAGAATTTCCAGTTAGCCACGCAAATAGAACGCCGGCTGAAATGCGACTCATCTGTGGTCATCTCTGATCTAGCTCTCTGGTTTTTAAATAATCGGCTGGCAATAAACGATTTCAGTTCAAGTTGTTAATGGCATTTCGTTATGTTTCATAGTTTTGAAAGTTGAAATACTTGAGTCGAATCAAATGCTTGCTGTACAACACAAAGTATCTTGTACGGGTATCTTCCGGTTTTTCGTTCGATTTATGATTATGATTATTAATAATTGAATTTCTATTTGTTCGACGAGCCGTGAACATAGACCAGCATCTTTTTGTACCTTTGTTTCGCTTGCAGGGTT